GACATGAATATAGCAGGATCTATCTGGCCCGAAAAAGCATGGATGGCTATAGCAGTACCTACCTAGTCCCAAAAAGCAAGAGACAAAAACAAAGAAGGTGACATTAGGTGAAGACATCTTAGGGGAGTAAAAATTTGACAGCACTGATCTCAACAAGCAGTCAGGCATAAATAGATGGGAAAATAGAAAAGGTTGACATAAACGAGAGGAAGCCTAAATGATCCACAAAGGCAGCAACAGGCGACATGCATATGAAGGAATCCAACATGGAGTGGAGACACGAATACTGTTAATAACGCAATCATGCAACAAAATGAAAAAATACCAACCTAACTTGTGCAGGAAGAAAGCAACAAATATTCAGAAAAATATAAGCAGTATGAGTACAAATTAAGCATCTAAATAAGATGTGAATTGCCGATGCATCAAAACAATCTGTTGCATATTGAAAATGGTTTATCAACCAGTCTCGTATATACTGTTTTGTTATTTGAAAACTCCGTAGAGATAACCGTTGCAGATGTCAAACCAGATTTATTCAGTAATACTAAAGGATCAGAAACCTATCACTTAATCAGCTTTCTCAAAATAACTATTACATTCAAAACCCTTTGCCTTTCATAGCTAGATGTTGCTAAATTAAAAAAAGGTATGATATCCCAACGCTATAACCACTGAAATGAAGTTTTGTAGAGTATATGTAGAATGATCAAATATGTATTATTTTGTTACTAAATGTGCAGACATAGCAATATTTTGTTACTAAAGGTATGATATCTAGAACGGCATCATGGACGCATGGTGCACGACTTGGCATGAACTGATTTTTTTTCTAAATAATATTATTTTAATAAGTAATTGCAAATCTAGACGGTGTTATGAAAAATTTGCAAGAATAAATATCTATCGGCAGTTGAAATGCCAATTGGATACTTATCGGCTACTGGTCAGCCTATATGGGCATATCGGCGGCTTGGATATCGTTTAGTCGCGCCACGTAAATCTGAGAATGACCACGTCAAAGTTATCTGCGCCGACAGGCATATTGGCATGCCAAGGGCCGACTAGCCATCAAACCACCTCGGCTCATCCTCTGCTGCTCTGCTCCACAGCAGGTACTCAACGGTCAAGTCATTCCTTCAATTTACATTCACAACATTGATTCTTTACCTTTGCGTTGACTAGTCTGCCTGTTGCATGTACTTTTGGCATTTAGATGTGTCCGTTGGAATCAAGTCGGCAGTTGATTGATGGAACTGGACATCGAGTGTTTCAATTTGCAAGAATTCGTATCCAATAAAATTTGAATATAGATATATGTATCCATATTCATATTAATATTCATTTTATGATATAGTGAGATTTTAAACATTGCAAATGATTAATGACTATTGTTATAAAAAACTAATATTTTAAAAAGAGCATGTTATAAACTAAAAAAATTAGTAACTAAGCGTTTTAGTCGCGCCAAATGTCGTAGCGCGACTTGTCACTATAGTCACACTAAATGAATCAATGTGACTAACTAACTATGTTAGCGCATCCAGAGAACACATTACATGTCCCGGAGTAGTGGAGCTGGATGCATGGAACGAAGTCCTAGGCTCATGATTCGGATAAAGGCAACACGACGGAAGCAGCATGCCTGACAGATGGATGATCTACTATGAATGAAATTGCGCCGCTGCGTCACGCGGGAGTCCTACGGAAAGACGGGCGTATTGGTGGCTTTTTTAATATATATATATATATATATATATATATATATATATATAGGTAGAGGAAGTGGATCAAGATGCAAGTATACGCACGTTGAGGGACCTTCAGCCAGTCCAGCGGGCGTACAGGTTAGTGGATATCTAGAGGATCCAATTAGGCATGCCGCATATGTAACAAATTTAATTAATGAATAAATAAAATAATATACGGGTGTACAGTTGCCGTGATTCTGGCTGGCCGTGATTCACCTATCTGTATTACTGTGACCTCCTGCGTTCCTGGGAGGAGGAGAAAGATCTAGGATAATTTATCGACATATATGATGATATATATATATATATATATATATATATATATATATATATATATATATATATATATAGATATATATATATATAGGAGGTGCATATGTCATTTGAAGTGTTTTAGGAGTTTTAAATATAGCGTTGTAATTGTTTCATATAGATATTGCGTGGTGTATACCGGGGATGTTGCACATGTTACATATGTGCAATTGTATCGATCATATTTAAAAGCGTATGTTTCGCTATTTTAGATATGTTTTATGCAGGCAAGTGCGTTTATCTGGATGCTGCAGGTGAACCTCGTGCTTTTATTTTGTGCTATGGCCCCACCTCTCTGTTTTTTCAAGTGTTTTAGAAGCATGTTTCAAGTATTACCAACCTGTAGGAGTCAGCATAGGAGGAATATTTTTTTATTATTTGTTTTTATATTTATAGGAATATCAACTATAATAATGGTATGTCAACTAATGATTATGATGTGAGATTCTTCACGTGGCAACACGCTCATGGAGGGTTCCACTAACGCATGCGTACTATTTGTTCACATTTGATTAGTTGAACCATGGATGAACCAAATTACAATAAGATAAGTTTTGTTCTTAATCAAAATTACATCAACAACCTGCATAAAAAAAATTACATCAATAACTTGGTGATGAAAATCTTTATATTGTAGAGAAAGTTCAGGATTCAACGGCCCATGATTGTTTTTTATTCTTGTAAAATAAATAGATAGAAAAGGATTGAAACAAAAAAAAAACTTTCAGTGGTTATAAGGAACAGCCAAAAGCATGATGTTAGATCAAGTAAAATAGGTTGTGATTGCTTTTCTTAGCATCTACTTAGAAATTTACAATTCTTTTTGAGATCTTTTGCCTAATATAAAGAAGAAATTCTAAAAGCAAAAAATAGTAAAGAGACGTGACTTACTTTGTTGCGGTGGGAGGCCGGTCCGCAGGACTATCGGCCAATGGAAAGCTGAGATTGGACCATCGGTTATAGCCGACGGCATATTGGCCGATAGGCGCATAAGCGATCGTAAATTTCAGGCAAAAGATTTTCTCTCATACCAAACCGTGGCGATAATAATGGTTATTCAGTATAGGATCGTTTTATTTACTTTAGTCGGCTAACTTGATTTGCAGTTGATTTGGTATTCAGTGAATGCCGGCAGTTGATTGAAATCGACAGGTATCCTATCGGCCATTTAATCGCATATTCTTATTAATAATCATTCCCGATGAGAACAGAGAACTAAAATTCCAAATGAAAATAATATTGTTTGAAAAAAATTCCGCAATTCAATAGCTCGAAAGGTGCCATCGGCCATTGGAAAGCCAACAGGATGGTAGTTTTGCAATTCTGCAAAAAAGAACACCAATTACTTATTAAAATAATATTATTTGAAAAAAAATCCGCATGAACTGCAGTCTGCAGCTCGAAAGGTGCCATGGAGACGCTTGGGCGTCACGGGCAGCAGCAGCCGGCTGTGTCTGTGTGCGGGGCACGGGCACCCCCCCACGGGTGTCGTGTCGCCCTCCTGTGCCGTCGATGCACATGCAAAAGCGGGCGATGACACGCGGGGCCCGCGAACCCGCCCGTGGCGTTCCTGCGCGCCCACTTGTCAAGCAAACCCCGCTCGTTGTTTCCCTTGGGCCCCACTGACACGCAGGTTCGGAGGTTCCTCAGCGTGGGGTCCAGCTGTAAGCCACTACATCGGGCACCAGCCAACAACAACCGAGGCAAATATGGCGCCGGAACAAAGCGAAACGAAACAAAGAAACAAAAGCCGTTCGTTCATGCCAAAAGCTGTTTGTTCGTTCATGCCATTATCTGATTCTCATGACAGTAAAAAATGACTTCACTCACTGCCCCTCAAATTATCCATCCGTTTAGACGACATATACTACTCCTGTTAATGGTCCATTTTTATTTTTAATTCATCCACCCATCCATTCCTGGACTAGTTTGCTCTGCCTAATTCAATTTTCGAAAAAAACAAAACTTAACTGAACGCGAACTGCTCGGGCTTCTGTTGCGCACACTCCCTCCTCTCCCACACTAGTCTCTACTGGGAGTAGGATCTCTAGGCGTTTCATTGCCTTGCTCTGCATCCGCTGGGGACCTAACCTAGGACTAGGAGGAGAGGCACGCTGCACCTGCACGCAACAGAGAGGACGGCGACAAAGCAACACCTCGCTTCATCCTCTGATTTGCTGTCCTTTTTGGCCGAGAGGAGAGAAAACATAATCGGCAGCGGGAACCCCAGCGGTTGGTTGGTACGCGATGCGATTCTTCCTCATCTCGATTCTTGAGCTCAAACATGGACGATTCATTCCTCCTCTCTGGACATTAGTTCTTGGACAATTCAGGATGGAAGGTAATGGCCACGGCAGCAGCAGGAGCCTTGAGAGGGCGATATCCAGGAAGGCGATGCAGGCCGGGAGCTCTGCTCCCTGTAAAACCTGGCTCATCGGCTTTTCTGCGGCGTCTGCATCACGTGCCTGTTTGGTGTAGTCGCTCTCCCCCCACTTCGGGTCATTCAGATTCAGAGCCAGTCGGTCTATCCGCCGCTGCGGCGAGCGATCCTCTGGAATTTTACATTCATCCAGCCTGGTGGTAATGCTGCAAACCTTGAATCTGCATTATGGTTATTTATTTCTGATAGAACGGGAATTTCGGTGATCTAGTTAGTTGGATAGGGCTGTACTGTATGTGTCTGTCAGCTTATATATTGTACTGAAGAAAGGAAACAACCGTGGGTCCCATCTGAACCTCATGTAATAACTAGTTTTCTGTAGCTGCATTACACTTCCTTCTCAGTTTCATATGGCTGTAATGTACCTTGTAGCAGTGGAGAATTCATATTTCTATTTTGTTTTGTGCCCATGCCTGTCAGTCTGTACTGTAACTATGTTCTTTGGAGCAGATGGGGCAGCAGCAGCAACAGATTAGCTGCCTTCTGCACCAGAGAAGATGGAACAACCAAAGGAAAACGAGAACATCACTGAAGCTGCTAGGATAATGCACCTGTACAATGCATGGGCCACTTTGCTCAACACTGACAGAGATGAAGTCACGAAAAGTTCTGATGGGATCTTTAATAAAGGTTCAAACCTCCCACGGCCACCTCATCTGGAGGACTGCAGGACTAATGCAGAAAGAAGTAAAGTATTCGATAGTTATGGCGATAACGGCACATTCCCCCGTGGACGTTATGGAAAGGATCACTTGGGCTTGAGTTCCTGAGCCAGAAGGATTCAGAACATGCAGATCAGCATAGACAGTATCCTCCCTGGGTATGCATGCTGAACTTGCCTGAATTTATAACTAACTATTTTGGTGATATTCTGTATGCAAATTCTGACTTTGGATTAATAATGACAAAATAAAAGATTGTAGGATCTGATGAGGAGAACTATCCATTGACCAGACAAGTGCAGAGAGATAAATGGACTCATCAGCACCCAAGGAACTGCAGCAATCCAGGCTTACGGTTTCTGGTTGCCGACTGGGAGAGGCTGCCTGGATTCGGTATTGGCGCGCAGATCGCTGGAATGTCAGGACTTCTTGCTATTGCCATGAAAGAGAAGAGGATACTGGTTACAAACCACTACAACCGTGCTGATCACAAGGGTTGCAAAGGTGACAGCTCTGCTTTCTCTTCTGGATTCTTGTTTTACATTATTATATAAAAGTGTGGTGCTACTTGCCTTTTGTACACACTGAACTTTGATTGCACTGTATCTTTTAGGTGCCTCAAGATCTAGTTGGTCTTGCTACTTTTTTCCTGAGACATCTCCAGACTGCTGCAACCGGGCTTTTGAGCTCATGCAAAGCAAAGCCTGTTGGGCTGATGGTACTGTAAAAGTGAAGGAGAACTATACCTCCAAGGAAATTTGGCTTGGACGCATACCTAGGTGGAGTACAATTTTAGATTGATGTATCCTCTTTGTTTCTGAATTGTTGGTCTTTAACACACCCACACCGTCCTTGTTAGCAGTATGAGTTCCTTTTCACAATTCTTCACCTCTATAGTCTTTACACTTTTCACAATCCACGTGTTTACTATTTGTCCCAGAGATAAATTTAGAGCTGATTACCTATTAGAGCTGCTACTATTTCCAAAGGAATGCACTTTATGTAACATTTGTTGTACTGTAGGGTGTGGGGGAAACCATGGAAATATTTGCAACCGACAACAGAGATAAATGGTAAATTGATTACAAATCATCGTAAAATGGATAGAAGATGGTGGGCACAGGTGAGTATGGGCACTCTTTAGTCACAAGTTATTGATTACACAAGACAGTTGTTCTATTAAACTGCATGACAATTCTCAAAAAACAAAACCTGTTAAATTGTACAAAGGGAATCTTACAGGCTCTTGTCCTAATTATACTTGTTTTTTCTAAAATCTCACCTTGTCTTTAACCTTCCATACAGGCGACAAGGTATCTAATGACGTTCCCGACAGAGTACATGTGCGGATTACTGAATGTCGCTAGGCACTCTGCATTTGGTTTGCAAGCAACAAAGTTGGTTCTTCAGAATATTCAGGATGACTCACCAAAGGTTTGAAAATCTGAAAACTGGTTTCGTGGACTCATGGTGCACCATGATTTGTTCTGATATGGTAACATCAGCACCAATATCAATATTTTTTAAAAAAAAATCCAAAAGGTTTCACAATTGCAGGTTGGCACTACTAGAACCAAATCTGATATTGAACGTCTTGTGTGGTCAGACCACAAACCATATATACCACGGCCTCTTCTCAGCATGCATGTAAGAAATGAGACAAAGCTTGTGAAATGGTGGTGGTTGGCTTTGAGGAATACATGGAGTTGGCTGGCAACATGAGCAAATGGTTTCCAAGCCTCAAGAACATCTGGCTTTCTACTGAAATGCAGGTAAGTCAATTCCCTCATCCAGTGTAAATCATCTATCAAGCTTGGAGTTAGAAGGGAAGTGATAGTCAGTAGTCACCAATGTTTAGGGGCTCAAACACTAAAAAAAAAATCTAACCCAAGCTGTGGAGTCAGCCATTAATGGCATGCAGTTTCTCTTGCGTGTTCGAGAAAAAAATGTTTCTAGCAAGTAATTTTAGCGTCAGATGGAATTAAACTTCCCTAATAATTCTGTATGCAGGAGTTATTGACAAAACAAAACATTACCCCCATTGGAGTTTCTACTTCACAAGCGTGGCACGCCAAGGAAGCAATATGACCATGGCAATGTATGAGGCCAGTTTGGGTCGTGAGACTAGCACAAACTCCCCCCTTGTCAATTTCATGATGGCCACCGAAGCGGATTTCTTCATTGGAGCCCTGGGATCAACCTGGTGCTACCTCATCGACGGAATGAGGAACACCGGAGGGAAGGTAATGTCCGGCTATCTATCGGTGAACAAGGACCGGTTCTGGTAAGCGATTCAAAGGCCGATTGCATTACCGATCATCGTGTAGCTCCACTAAATAGAGATGTGGCCTAGTTTTCTTGTGTATATACAGCAGTAGCATGATGCCACCTTCTGAGAATCTGAGAAGACACCTTTACCATGAAACTTCATGACTAAGTAGGAGAACAGTACCTTGTTATATCCAATCAGGTCCATATCTTTTGATCTGGTGTCCACTAAGAGCTAGCTCGATATGTTATCTCTTCTCTTGGTCCAACTTATCGTGAAAAGAGGATGCACCTACTCTATTTTTCAGTGGCGCACATAATGTTGTGGTACACGGGAGATCCAATTAAGAAAAAAATTATACTAGTATGAAAGTAACAGCTAAACCATGTAAAAAGAAGCTGACATAGACACGTTTCTTGCACCCTGAAAACTTTCTCCTCTTTGTCAACCATTTGATTTTTGAAGGTCTTTTTTGTTGACTTTGAAAAGTTAGCAGGAGCATTATGCAGTCGATTAAGGAGAGATTAATTTCTGATGGTAAAGGATCGCCATGCATGAACTGATTCACGCTGAACTATGGCTGGCCATCTCCTGGCAGAAGAAAAAATGGTATGCATGATCACTGATCCTGTCCTGGAATGATCTTTCAGATGAAGATTCAATGAATCGATTCGAGCCTATGTCGTACATGCATGCGAAACTAATACCAAGTGGGTGATTTCTACATAGGCAAAGGACCACTATGTCATGTGCACTCAGAACTGGCAATTCCTGGACATGAGTGATGCTCCAGTTCCTGCTCAACCATCCATTCATCCATCCACTGCTTGTGAGTGAGAGGCAGATGATGACCTGAAAGGGACTCTGTAACTGTACACTGAAGAAAAAGATGAACTGCCATCCATGTGACGTACGTAGTAGTGATGTGCAACCCATCACAGAGGCAGGTAGTGGACACGAGCTCAACGCATTTCAGCTTTCTCCCCACTTGAGGGAGTGGTGAGATTCCTTTCGGATCCCATCAGCAATGCAGCAGCCCCAGAGAGGGTGCCGTGCACGAACAATGGCGCACCCGGCTTGCCGCTTGCATTGGTGGGGCGGCTTCAGGAAGGAAGGAGCCTTGCCCAGAGGAATCCATTGACCTGGTGATTCAGCTTGGATGGATGGGGGGAAGGAAATGCAGAAACTGTTTGGAGTGGATGCAGATGCATGGAGCTCTTTCCCGCTGCAGCAGTGAAAATGCACTACTGCATGGCCTGAATGGCAATGTTAGGTATCAAAAAGGTACATTCTGGCCATTGCCATTTGGATGCCATGCCATTCTTACCTGAATTATATGATGCCTTCCTACGAGTTACATAGTAGCCTAGCAATGCATGAAGCCCAACTTCCCCGTATCTGATGCTACATTGTTCTGAATTTTTGTGCCAGTTCATGGGAGCATGATTGAAGGTAAACCACTTTTTTGCTCTCACAAAAGGAGAAGCTGACATCAGATGACAGAGGATCCGAGTTGGTGTCTTGGTGATGGACTGATGCCTAGGAGGTTTTGGGGGCACCCAGCTGAGTGTGCAACAATGCTCATCTCTCTCGTGATACATATGGATCATGTTATTCAGAGATGCGCCATTGTTTTTCTTCTAAAAAATGTCAGCTCCTTGGTGCAAGAAATTCGGTTCTCTTAAAAGGATAGCAGATTTTGCAGGTGAAGGCTTGTCTCGGTTTTTTCCTTTCCTAGACCCCACTCATGTGGGAGCCTCCGGCACTGGGTCTGCTCCTTTAAGTAGAAGGGTGGGCCTGGTGCAAGCGGTAGAGTCTTATCGCCCGGAAGGTCCCGGGTTCGAGTCGCGGTCTCCTCGCATTGCACAGGCGAGGGTAAAACTTACCACTAACACTCTTCTCCAGACCCCGCACAGAGTGAGAGCTCTCTGCATTAGGTACGCCCATAAAAGGATAGGAGATCAGGTGATGAGATGAGTAGATGACAAGACGACGAATGCTGCTGACAAAGCATGCAAGATACCAATAGTTGCAGTCACATGGACAAGACCCATGGTCAGCACAATGCATACGACCAGAGCATTTCTGGCGGTATTCTTTCTGGCTCCAACCTCAACTCTGAAAACTGACGACCTGTCGTGATTCGTGAACACATCCATCTATCTCAAATCTGACCGTCAGTCTGTACCTCATTCTCATCATCCCATGATAGTACGACACACACAAGCAGCAGCAGCTACAACAAAAGAGGGAGAAATCAGAAATGATGGAAATGAAACAAAAATGACGAAAAAATAAAGGAAAAGAAAAGCAAGGAGGAAGAAAGAAGAAGAAAAGGTGGTTTTTGTGGCTTCTCTTTACAGCTGAAAACCTCTCTCATCTCATGTGCACCTTTTCCGTGTATCATCAGACCATCCAAAAGCAAGAGGAAATTGTTCCGGACAAATTGTGAGGATCACAACCAAACAACCAACTGATAAGAAGATAGACGTCAGCATCCGCCACTTCTGCAGTCTGCACTGTTTAGGACCTGTTTTGATCTAGAACTAAAGTTTAGTCACCTAAAATTTAATTGGGTAGTATTTGGATACCAACTGAACTTTAGATAACTCATGCTTAACTAGACTACACTACCCTTTGCGCATGGGAGAGAAGAGAGGTAGGTGCGAGGGCATTTATGTCTTTCCGAGTTCAATGTCAGTTTTTAGTCTGGTTTAGCTCACATTTGTCAACTAGTGAACTAACGACTAGTTGTAGCTGAACTAAGTGTAGTCCACCTATTAGTTCGCCCGTTTAAATGGATTAGAACTAAAGTTAGGTGACTAGCAATTAGTTCGGTTTATCCAAATAGGCCCTTGATTCAGTTTGACCTCTTAATTGAGCCGACACACCCCAATTAATCACCATCACTGTCAAAGCTCACAGGCCGGCATCCAGGGACTGCAAATTCTGCAATGCTCTTTTCTCTACCATGCAAATCAAATCGACAGATCATTTTGGGAACGAAGAGATTTGGAATTCAGAGATCTGTGTGATGGTGACCTGTTCAAGCCCACTAATACCTTCTTGCTTTTCCAGTGTCAATGTCCATAATCAGCAGTAGCAATTGGGGGCTTCTGACTGAGCACACCAGCTTGTGCACTGCCCACTTATGGACCTTGGCTGTGTATAGATTTATGCACCATCATAGTCTGTTTTTTTTGTAAGTGGCAATCATCTGTCTCCACTTAATTAGATCCTACCTATATGCAAAGATACAAGAAATTGAACAGAAAGGTTTGGTAGGGAGTGTGTGGTATATAGTACTCGTGGATGCATACATCCAGGTTGGCATGTATGTAGCTGAAAGTATAAAAATAGTTCCACTCACAATGCCCTAGATTAGGAAAACGCCACCCATGTATATATGCTCTTCCTTTCTCAAAAAAATGAAAAGCTAATTCAGTGACCATCTAAGATGGCACTATGCGCTTTTTCTCGTAAGAGAGTATCGAAAAACGTAGTGTTATTGCTAAAAAGAGGTTAATATTATTAGTTTGGTCCATGTATCAAATTACCGCCTTTTCTCATGCAGTACCTATCAGTTGGAGCTTTGCTAAAGCGTAAACGGCATCATGCTGGAATAAACCCTTGGTTGTTATAATAGGAGCAAAACAAAATTCAGTTGGAGCAAAAGGCTCATACAAATCTATGGACATCTCATGACCACGGCATCTCAATTTATGCGTTGTTTATCAATCTGCCGCTATGACAGCTACATTATGTAGAGCCAAAAACAGAAAGAACCTGCAGCGAAACTGGACTGAGAGACAGCAAGACAATGTGTTTGTTTTCGCTTCTCATCGAGAACAACATGAACTCGACAAGTCCGGGAAAAAAGATTGCTTTGGTTTTGTTGGATCGATCATGGAGTCCGACGAGCCTCTGAGGGATCATACATCATTATCGCAGCTCTCTAGCTTCCAGAAACGTATGAAACTCCCCCGGATCCATGCAGGGTATCCGGATAAAAGCCTGAAAGGATGCACGTTCTTAGGTGGAATATCTTTAAGCACGCAAAAGCCCATTTACTTACGTGAAGATTACAAACTCGTTAATTAGTAGGGTATAAAGTTAACTTGCCATACATACACTGTAAATAAATTGGGAAAAAAAACTTCAAGACAAATGCTAAGTATCACTGACAACGTCCCAAACCATGACAGTGGATGCTATTACAATAATAATACATATCGGTTTGTGGAATATCTTTAAGCACGCAAAAGCCCATTTACTTACGTGAAGATTACAGACTCGTTAATTAGTAGGGTATAAAGTTAACTTGCCATACATACAGTAAATAAATTGGGAAAAAAAACTTCAAGACAAATGCTAAGTATCACTGACAACGTACCAAACCATGACAGTGGATGCTATTACAATAATAATACATATCGGTTTGTGGAATAGACGAGCATTAGGAATTGAGTCATTTCACCAAAGATGAATTCATGATGATGCACCGTACCGCCTCATCTAGGACGTGGTGGTTTCTCAAACCAAGCATTTGATGAGTTCGTGGACGATTGGTTTTGCTCTATCTTTTAAGTTTGTTGCCAAATCACATAGCACTATTTTAAATTAATAGAGTTTCAGAGTTTTTCATTCCAATCCATGGTGAATTAAAGTGCAATCAAGAGGAAGCTGTGTGCAATTAGCCATAGAATTGTGGCATGCATTGGTGCTTTCTGAACTTACCCACTCATATATGCTCAGAATGAAAAGAAGGCGTGCACGAGTTAAATTCAGACTCATACTGCAATAACAAACTTAAATTATG